TATCAAAAAGTTAATTTTATCAAACACTTTTGCATAATCAGATAGCTTAACAGCTATTCAGTTTTCAACTTCTAGCTTATAGCTTTTCAGCTTTCAGCTATCTTTTCAGCTAGGTTTGTCAAACATAGCGCCTTAGAATATGTTTGGAGAGCTTATTTAGGAGCTTATAGCTTATTTTAAGTTACTAATAAACTATAAGTTCTGTTTGGTAATGTTTCCAAAATAAGCTCATAGCTTAAAATAAGAGTTTACTTTGGAACGCTACTTTAGGTAGCCTCTCAAAATAAGCAGTAGCTTCCTAACTTTTTTTTCCATCTTTGTCCTTATTATTTTAAAGAATGACGTCGTTTGCCCTTCCCAATTAAAATCCTTTTCTCTTCTCCTTTATCCGCAACTTTCACCGCAATTATTATTATTATTATTATTATTATTATTATTATTATTATTATTATTATTATTATTATTATTATTATTATTATTAGATGAAGGAGATTTGCAACAATATTGCTACTTCATTATGGGATACTAGATCATGATTATGTTAATAATTTTATTTCAAAATGTTAATTTTTTTTTAGACAAAATGTTAAATTTTAATATGTAAACAAACTAATTTAAATTTTATGAAGATGTCCTTTTTTGTCTTTTTACATTTATCTACTTATCAAAAAGTTAATTTTACCAAACACTTCCCAGCATAACAGCTAGCTTAACAGCTCTTCAACTTTCAGCTCCTAGCTTATAGCTTTTCAGCTTTCAACTCCTTTTAAGCTTCCAGCTACCTTTTCAGCTCGGTTTGCCAAACATAGCCTTAATCAAACCAAATTAAACCACTATTTCATAATTGCAACTAAAAAGATTTAATATATTTACAATTATAATATAATAATTATAATAATTTTTTATTTTTGTTAATTATTTTTACAAAAATAATTTATTATGTAATAAATTTGTTAATATATTTATTAAATTTAATTAAAAAAGTACTAAAAATATATTTACATACAAGGTCACAGTCGGCTAGTCCATCGATTTCGGTGAACTCATGATTGTTACTTCGTATTTTAGTTGAATTTACATAGAAACCCATGAATTTACATACAAACTGATGATTGTTATTATAGTTGAATTGAATTTATTTGTTCACCATAATTGCATCAAATATGATTAATGGATAATTGCATCAAATAAATGCAGGTAATCCCAAGTTGAATGCACAAAAACAGACATGTGAGTGCACACAATTGCAAACAACCTATATTTATTTATAAATACATGGTGGGAATCTCATATTTTTTCATATGTAAATGGAACTTCAGATTTTCCTATATCACTACAAGAAAAATGCACATAGACAACACTAGAAAGACAACAGTTTTTAAGAAAAGTGTTGTCTTTTGTATAAAAGACAACAGTTTGGTCCAAAACCGTTGTCTTTGATACAACACTTTTGTCAAAGACAACGGTTTTTACTTAACCGTTGTTATAAGTGTGTTGTCTTTGTGCATTTTGTGAAAAGACAACACCACAACGACAACGGTTTTAAAAAACCGTTGTCTATGTGCGTTTTTTTTTTTTAAAATAAGACAACGGTTTCTTTAACTGTTGTAGTTGGTGTGTTGTCTTTAAGCGCCCTGGAATACACGACACTAGAAAGACAACAGTTGTTTAAAACCGTTGTCTTTGTGCACTCTTTTTTTTAAAAAAGACAATGGTTTTATTTAACCGTTGTCGTTGGTGTGTTGTCGTTAAGCGCACTCGAATACACAACACTAAAACGACAACGGTTTTATATAACCGTTGTCGTTACGCGTTCTTTATTTGTTTAAGACAACAGTTTTATAAAACCGTTGTCTTTGGTATGTTGTCTTTAAGCATATTTGAATAACACTACAAAGACAACGGTTTTAAAAAATCGTTGTCTTTGCGCATCATTATTTAACAGGTATATAAACTAAAAACAAGGATGTTAACAACAAGATTTGAACCTATAACCTCAACCTTAACAAGTAAATGATCTAACCAACTAAACAACACAAACTCCTATCTTTAAAGGTGCAACATCTGGTATATAACTGGGCTGCTTCTGTGTTGTTTGTGAAAACCAAGACAACAATTTGAGAAAATAGTTGAAGAATTCCCCCCAAGAAGAATAGATGAACTTTTCATACACACATGGATTAATGATGACCATTAATTTTTTATTTTATACGGTTTAGATTTTTTCTCATGTAAAAATGTGTTCTCATAGGAACGTGTGTGTGGGGGGGGGGGGGGGGGTGTGTGGTCCGATTCATCATGTGAGAACTACTGCTTGGGTGTGAACTTGTGAACTCACAATCCTATGAATAGGGGTGTGCAAAATTCGATAATTGTCAAATCAATCTTTTATCTTTAAATAATGAACACATCTTAATGACATACAGAGTACATAATATGTCATACATACCACAATTGTACAAATTGCCATCACATCACTCCTTTCCTTAATACTACATCAGATATCCAAACACAGAAAATAGGATAAGCCAAAGAATTTACACTCTACAAGCCGCAGCCCTATATATGCATGTTATAACATATATAACATTGTTTAATAAATTATTTTTGTATAAGTTTATGGATTGTCGGATGTTTATAAATTTATTAAACATGATATGTTCATGTCAAAGAGATATATTATTTTGCGATACATATGTCTCAACACAACATGAATGCATAATATGACATTACCTACTTTAAATAAGTTAATTGGGATAATAGATTAAGGAACATTTGGTTTAACTTATGTGTTCAAAATCTCATATTAGTTTTGTTTGGTTTGTAAAAGTGGGAGAAAATTATGTGAGCTTTTTAAGAATGATTTTATTATTAGTATTATATTATTTTTCACATTCTGATCCTTTCAATGACTACAGTTCTTTAATTCAAGTTTTTATTATTATGCTATGGTGCCTTTAATGTGTTTTACCTCTTTTAAAGTGTGTGTATATATATATTTCACAATTGTAAAATTATCTTGTGTAGGCCGTTATGAATGGTCCATATGATCCAAGATACAAGGATTTTGGCTTACCAATTGATCCTTACCTTAGAGCCTTTGTATTAAATCCAAGTTTCTTAAGTAATAATAATTTTATTAGTATATTTTTAAATTATCTCGATGTAGGGGTAAAAAGCTCAAACAGGTAGTAAGAAGCATAGAATTTGTGATGAAAGATTGAAGAAGTTGAGAATCGGCAATAATGAGACGGCCGCACGATCGTCGCACGGAAGAGTTCGTTGCACTAATCAAGACTCTATATATATAAAGGAAATTATAGAAGAAGAAAGAAAAACTTGTGTATTTAAAATTGAGAATGGATTTGCCTTGATTTCTTTAGCATACTACACCAGCTATTGCAATAGATTAACAAATTCCCTACAAATGAATTACAATAGACATACACATTAAAATAATATTCCTAATCTGATCTACTAGCTTTGCCCAAATCATCCGCTAATTAGCTACTTCATACTTGGTTTATCAACAAATTAAAAAATTGAAGCAGCACTAAGAAACGAGGGATGACTATTAGATATATTAAATATAATATACAGAGTATCTATATATATGTGTATATATATATATATATATATATATATATATATATATATATAAAAGTGAGAGAGAAAGAGAGGAATAGGAAAACAATAATATGTTATTGTTTCTCGATGATGTCAAATACATTGTAATACAATATATTTATAGTGTAAGCTAAAGAAATAAATTCCTAAAATTATGGCCACGTAACACTCCATGACTCCATGTACTACTTCACACTATGCCCATGTAATACTATGCTGCAATCCCACGGCTAAACTAATGCTAAGCATAGCCCACATAGTACTTTAATTTCTAACAACTAATTACTAGCTACTTGGTTCAACAATTATAATAATAATATTATTATAGCATTGCCTCCTTTAAACCAAGTTGGATATATTGTTCATCCCAATATCTCTTTCTTCAATTTAAGAAATGTCTTCGTCTTCAAGTTGGATATACTGACTTGTATTTCGTTCTATAAACCCACTTTACTCCAATTGGCTTCTTCCCATGAGGTAAATTTGTTAACTCCCAAGTACGACTCTTTTCAATGGCACGAATCTCCTCACCCATCGCCTTAAGCCAAGGAATTTCTGTAGCAGCCTCCTCAATGGATAAAGGGTCACAATCTGCAAAAAGAGCAAATTGAATAATCTCTTCATCTGACAGGTCATTATCATGACCCAAAACATAATCTTGCAAGCGAGCTGGTAAGTGGAACTCGCGCTGAGATCCTCTAACTGACGACTCTGGATGTGAAGGAGACTGAACATTATCTGGAATCGGTTGCTCATCAACAATTTTTTCAACAACAGGAATAACAACTGAACTTTCATCTTTAGCTAACCAATCCCAGCCACCATATTCATCAAAAGTAACATCACGACTTATAACAACCTTTTTAGTTTCAGGATTGTACAATTTATAAGCCTTGGAAGCATCACTATAACCAATGAATATGCATTCCTCACCTTTATCATCCAACTTCTTTCTCAATGGATATGGCACATGTGCATATGCCAAACATCCAAAAACCTTGAGATCTCTTGTGGAGGGTTTCTTCCCACTCCAAGCTTCCTCAGGTGTCTTATCACGAACACTCTTAGTTGGATACCTATTCAACACATAGACAGCACAAGAAACAGCTTCTGCCCAAAAAGGCTTAGGCAGATTCTTAGATTTCAACATGCATCTCACCATATCCATGATTGATCTATTCTTCCCCTCAGCCACTCCGTTTTGTTGTGGAGTGTATCTGGCTGTCATCTGGTGCTGAATACCCTTCTCTTTCAGAAAATTATCACAAGTAATATATTCTGTACCTCTATCAGTTCTCAAGATTTTAATTTCATAACCACTTTGCTTTTCAACAAAAGCCTTAAATTGTTTGAAAACATCATATGCTTCAGACTTTTGCTTCAGAAAGTAAACCCATGTTTTCCTACTGAAATCATCAATGAAAGTAATAAAGTACTTACAACCTCCAAGTGAGGGAACCTCCAACGAACACAGGTCTGAGTGAACAATCTCCAACTGTTTTATGGCTCTCCTTGACTCATCCACGGGGAAGGGATCTCTATGCTTCTTCCCAATCACACAAATCTCACAGATACGATAAGGGACATTCACAACAGGTAAATCAGAAACAAATTCCTTTCTCGCAAGATAGTTTAATTCAGAGAAATGGAAATGCCCAAATCGCATATGCCATAACAAACGTCAGAATTAAAGCAAGCAAGGAGAGTATGCTTAATTTTCAAAGGAAATAGTCGATTCTGGGACATATTTACCTTTGCAATCAAAACTCCTTTAGCATCTGCAATGGTACAACACCCTTGAGTAATATTTATCTTATATCCTTTTTCTGACAATTGTCCCATACTCAACAAATTTTGGTGTAGTTCAGGAACATAGAACACATCGGATATAAAATTGTGAATACCATCCTTCAATTGAATAGAGATTTTACCTTTTCCCAAAATTGGCACCTTTGACTTATTGCCAAATGTCGCTTCAGACCGAACTGATTCATCTAGTTCAGAAAACAATTCTTTCTTCCCACACATATGGTTACTACACCCAGTATCCAAGAACCATATGTTCTTATCTGCAGAAAAAACTATTGCTGGCCAAAAGTAATGTTTCAGAACTCTCACCAAAATTTTCAGAAGTGTTTTCAGCAATGTTTGCTTGATTTCCACGATTGTCCTCATTATACCAGCAATCTGCAATCTTGTGTCTATACTTGCCACAATTGTAGCAATGAAATGGAAATTTACCATGCTTGGTATTACCTCCACCTCTTCCTTGGTTGGAGTTACCACGTCCTCCTCCTAGGTTGAAGTTACCACGACCTCTTCCACTAGAACCTCCTCTTCCTCTTCCACGACCTCTACCAGATCCTCCACCTCTTTGATTAGTGTCAGTCACATTAAGGGTGACTTGACTCTTCAAAGCTTCTTCTGCTAATGGTTCCAATTTTGACGCAATTCTGTGAATATGACTTTCTACCATACCTTTCAGCTCTGCAATTGATATGAGCTCAGTTTTGTGTGACTCTGTTATCGAAGCCACCACATGGTCATACTTCATCGGCATAGTTCGAAGAACTTTTTCAACCACTGCACTATCTTCAATCGTATCTCCGTATAACCTCATCTTATTCACCATATCAATAAGACGAGTGAAATACGTATCTACTGTTTCTATAGAGGTCATCTCACAATTATCGTACAACCTTCTCAACGACTGCAACTTAGACTTCTGTCCCTGATCGACTCCTTTGTTTGATACCTTTAAGATGTCCCACGCTTGCATTGCTGTTTGAGCACGAGCTAATTGCCCAAAAATGGAGTAATGAACACCTTGGTGAATCTGTCCTAAGGCCAACTGATCTCGCCGTGTTTGGGCTGCATCAGCTCCTTCGGGTAGACCGGGATCAACAAAGCTCCAAAGATTTTGAGCTTTAAAATGTGTGGACGGCATAATTGGCAAATAATTGTAATCGAGTTTCCCACCCAATTTGGGACCCGACCATACAATATTGAAATTTGCTGCCATAATTCACTACGAAAAATATCTCGGGGTTGAAAGATTGACTGGCTCTGATACCAAATGTTAGATATATTAAATATAATATATCTATATATGTGTGTGTATGTGTGTGTCTATATATATATATATATATATATATATATATATATATATATATATATAAGTACAGAGAAAGAGAGGAATAGGAAAATAATAATATTTTATTGCTTGTCGATGATGTCAAATACATTGTAATAAAATATATTTATAGTGAAAGCTAATGAAATAAATTCCTAAAATTATGGCCACGTAACACTCCATGACTCCATGTACTACTTCACACTATGCCCATGTAAACCATGCTGCAATCCCGCGGCTAAACTAATGCTAAGCATGGCCCACGTAGTACTTTAATTTCTAACAACTAATTACTAGCTGCTTGGTTTAACAATTATAATAATAACTAGTTTTTTCTACGCGCTTTGCGCGAAAATTTATGCCCAATGTTGAAACTCGATTAGTAAATCATTTTAAAATAGATAAATAGATTATATTTCTCACAAGACTAAAGTGAAAGTTACGTATTAAATATGGAGTATTCTTATATGCAGCCTCTTATAAATTAATATTGATTTTAACTCCAACCAACTTATTAACATTTAGACCTGCTATGCAGGAGCCTTATGCCTTTATGTCATTTTGAATAAAATTTTCAGACCTCCTAAATTTATTAGAAGACTCCATATTTAAAATAGAATACACAAAGAAAAAGAAAAAACCTGAAACCTAATCTCTACCACATCTATCTTTTTAGGAATCACCAAACTAATTTCTGGAATAATAAGCTAGTCATCAAGCATGCAAATCCATTCCCAGCTCAAAAAGATTCTATCAACATACATTTTGGACGACAATGTTCACAATATCTCATGGATCCAATTTCCTTTCTTCTACATTTAAATTTCACTTTATACCAATTCAAGTCAAAAGGAATATGATTAAAGGGCCAAAAAATAAGATATAACATGTAAAGCATCAAAGCATACAACAACCACAGGCGTAAATAGAACCAAACATAAAACACTCACAAAAACAAAAAAAATGGATAAAGCCACAGATTCTTAAAGAATGGACAAGTACTATTGTATAATCAGTTACATATAACAATCTCATAACCATTGTAAAAGGAATCATACAATTGGGGGACAAAGGAAACCCATCAGATAAGGTATTGCAATTTTTGAGGTTTTAATATTTTAGCAATTCATTTCCATTTTTCTCCCTCAAATTGCATTATACAAGAAATAAAAGTGTCTAAATTGAACCATAAAAGACATTATAAATAAACATGGTAAGATACAATATTAAACATTAGCAGTCCAAGTTATAAAGCTATAAATCGATCATATCCTTACAAGCCAAGCATATTGTTGATTTTTGCCCTTAACAACAGAAAGTTACTTTTGTAGTTATCTCTATAATAAATTGCTTTGACGGTTCCTTGAAAGTAACAAGCAACAGCTCTTTGAAGATAGCCGGTGGAGAAAACTCCTCTAGTGTACCAGATGGCACACTCCTTTAGACTTCGTCCATCTGTGAACTCGGCATCTTCCGGTACAAGATATTTGACCGCAGCAATCATTTTGTCTAGCTCCACACAAACCGGTGTACCTGTAGAATCAACCATAAAGCGAAAAGAGAGAGTAGAATCTTCCCTGTGGTGCTGCCCTGCTGGAGCTGCCTCGAACATACTGCCCGCCAAAATGAGAGGGTGGTCTACTCTCTTCCCCTTTTTGGCAATAGCAAAAACAGCCTCTATAATAGACTTGTTGCCCTTTGTTGGGTTCCAATCTGCCTTAGTAGGTTAGGATTGTCTTCATGATGATCCGCAAGCTTCGCCCTCCCATTATTTATTATATGTTCTAATTCTTATTTAATTTGACAAAATTAATGAACAAATTTACCTTAAATAATAACCTATTAGAACATATAATAAATAATGGGAGGGCGAAGCTTGCGGAGATGAAAAACCGGATCTATTCAGACGTTACCGGTACTTTGTAGTGGGAGAAAGGAAAAGGGAGGGATATTGCTGAGGAGAGAAGAAGATGAGCGGAACTCCGGGCTTGCATTTAGATTGCCAGCAAGAGCTCCTAGATGATAATTCGTCGCTACATTGTAGTGAGAGAAAGCAAGATCTCTGTGATAAAAGATTGAGACTTGGATAGGCGATGAAGGATGATGAAGGAGGAAATCTCATATTATTATGCGATGAAGGAGGAATGTATCAGAAGCGTACATCTCAAATTATTACGCGTTAAGGGAGAAGGAGGAAACGTGGATTTTTAACAGTAACAGAATATGCTTGGGCATTTTTGTCTAAAAAAGAATAATGTACAATATTGATAACATAATGTACAAACAACTCAGCACTATCAACACAGACATAAACTCAGGGACATAACCTGTATTAATACTTATTATGTTTTTAGATATTATTATAACACTGATGGAGGATGGAGGTTGCCCCTGGTGGCAAATTATACCGTAGATTCATAATTTTATAAATATATGTTCATAATTCTAGAACTATATGTTCATAATTTTCGATGTTCATATTCTCAATTGTTAAACTCTGTATTCACAAATTACTATATGTTCATAATTTGATAACTATACAGTCTAGAAATTATGAATCTACAGTACAGAAATTATGAATCTACAGTACATATATTATGAATATACTATATAGAAATTATGAATCTATTGTATTTAAATTATGAATCTACAATATAGAGTTTATGAATCTACAATATAAAAATTATGAATCTACAGTATAAAAATTATGAATCTATACCCGTGTGCACCATGCATGGTGCACACGGTTGCAGAGCATAACAATCCCCCCTGGTGTGACGAAGAATAACAAACTCTGGACCATGCATTCAGGAGATGTGATCGAGCGGTTGACTGTTGGAGACGGTCCACGGCTCACGCCCCATAAGTTCTCTCCTTCCTCGTTAAACACCTTGACGGCATGATAACTAAACAAAGATGGATTAATTGTATTATTTTATTGACTTAGAGCATCATTATCAGTTGAGAATATTACGGGGATATTGTAAGAGTGATTAAGAAAGAGAAGATGGGAGGGTAGAGAAAAAAGAAAGAAAAAAAATAACAAAACTGAAATTTTTAAAAATAAATAAATAAATAAATAAATGAAGCGTCAGTCGCGCCTGAAGCGTTACACGGGCGCTTGCACTGCACGCACAACTTGTTTTTTGTTTTTTTTTTTTGTTTTTTTTTTTGTTTTTTTTTTGTTTTTTGTTTTTTGTTTTTTTTTTGTTTTTTTTGTTTTTTTTGTTTTTTTTGTTTTTTTTTTTTGTTTTATGACATTCTTTCCAAACTTTGCAGGAGAAATAATTTCTTAAGTAACCCCACCACGCGGCCCACATATATAAATAACCCCACTCAAGTTATTTCATCTTACATTAACCTCATATTATACTCTATTGTGGATGCTCGGGGCCGAGTTGACTATTTTTCTTTTAAAAAAAATCAAATGCCACATGAATTAATAAATTGCACATATTTTGTACTCCACGGTACATATAAACTGCGACCCAGGTAGCATTTAATAATAAAATAATTCAAACTCCACATAAACTGCACACCTTTTACGTACCATAATTGTCATAAACTGTACCAATTTTATACTCCACAAATTATCAAATCAATCTTTTATCTAAACTAATGAACACACCTTAATGGCATACTTAATATGACGTCATACATACCACAATAATACAAATTGCAATCACATCACTCCTTTCCATAATACTACATCAGATATCCAAAGACAGAAAATAGGATAAGCTAGAGAATTTATAGTCTTCGTACAAGCCGCGGTCGTAATAATCGTGGGAGAAGATTCTCTCAAACACTCATTGGCTCATCCTCACGCTCTGGGGTTTGTCAAGCAAATACACATGATAAGAAACTGTTTTTTTTTTTAAAAAATTTAATATAAAACTATTTTTGCATTAAGCAGTGTCCATATGAGTAGCTTATGATAATTTATTATATTTTTCAAAAAAAAAAAAAAGGCTGAAACTAATGGTAAAGGCATCCTCAATAGTGAAGTTTTTGGATCGGTTTTTGAGGTGCCAAGTAAGAGAGAGAAGATGGAAAGAGAAGAAAGAAAAAAGATTTTTTAAAAAAAGCTACTGTAACACGCTTGGCGGGGCGTGCACTGCACGCGCACGGCTGGGCGCTATGTTGCCTTCCACTCTAGATTTTGTCGGCTGCTATTCAATTTGGCGGGGCCCATGATCAAGGACAAAAAGGCCCTCTTTGCAGGAGGTCTTCACTTATCTCTCTTCACTCTCTCACCCCCCACATCACACAAATTTTCTCAAAAACTACACTAAAATCTACTAATTTTGATGACCTAATGAGGAGAGGCCAGTAGGATCCCAACTTCAACCTCCCAACGCTCCAAACATAGCTTCACCAGCTTGGCGTCCCGATCAATCAATGTAAGTTCAACATCTATTTAACATGTTATGATAGATTTTTTAACCTTTTAGGTTAAATCAATATATGCATGTTATAACATATATATAACATTGTTTAATAACTTGTTTTTGTATAAGTTTGTGGATTGTAACATGTTTATTAAACATGTTATGTTCATGTCAAAGACATATTTTGCGATATATATGTCTCAACACAACATGAATGCATGTTAATTAATATGACATGACCTACTTTAAATAAGTTAATCGGGATAATAGATTAAGGAACATTTGGTTTAAGTTATGTGTTCAAAATCTCATATTAGTCTTGTTCAATTTTGTTTGTAAAAGTGCGATATCCTAAAAAGTTGAGATTTTTAAGAATGATTTTGTTATTAGTATTATATTAATTTATTTTCACATTATTTGATATCATATTCCGATCCTTTCAATGACTACAAGTTCTTTAATCAAGTTGTTTATTATCCGGTGGTGCCTATAATGTGTTTTACCTCTTTTAAAATGCGTGTGTATATATTTCACAATTGTAAAATTATCTTGTGTAGGACCGTTATGAATGGTCCGTATAATTCTAGACTAGATACAAGGATTTTGGGCTAATTATTGTGTGGACCATGGTCCACACAGTGTTATGTGGACCATAACATAAAGTACATTTTTAATATACTAAATGTACATTATTTTTGTACTGAATGTACAATATACAATATAATGTACAATCAATACAAAAATAATGTACATCCCCTTAATACAATGTACATTATTTTTGTGCTGAATGTACATTATTTTTGTACTAAATGTACATTATTTTATAGTATACTAAATATGGTCTACACAACTTGTATGGACCATGGTCCACACAATAATGATTGAGGATTTTGGCTTACCAATTTGTGTAGGCCCATTATGAATGGTCTGTATGATCCTAGATACAAGGATTTCAGCTTACCAATTGATCCTTACCTCACAGTCTTGGTATTAAATCCAAGTTTTTTAAGTGGTAATAATTTTATTTGTATATTTTAAAATTACCTCGATGTAGGGGTAAAATGCTCAAACAGGTAGTAGAAATGGGCCCGAAACATAAAAGTAGTAGAGAGTATCGAAGAAGTAGAGAACCGGTAATAATGAGACGGGCGCACGGGAGGAGCCAGCTGCCCTAATCAAGATTCTATATATATATATATATATATATATATATATATATATATATATAAAGGAAATTCTAGAAGAGGAAAGAAAAACTTGTATAGTTAAAATTGAGAATGGATTTGGCTTGATTTCTTTAGCATACTACACCAGCTAATGCAATAGATGAACAAATTCCGTACAAATTAGCCACAAATGAATTACAATAGCCATACACATTAAAACAATTTTCCTAATCTACGAGTTTTGCTCAAATCATCTGATAACTACTTCATACATACTTGGTTTATCAACTAATCTATCTATCTATATTATATATAAAAAACAAAATCCTGAACTTAACTTTCCGCTCAATTCCTAAAGAATCTCGCTTTCTAATAAAATATATTGTTTTATACTTTCCTATTCGTACTATACTTCTCGGTTAAAGTTCCTATTCTTATATTATAAAATAGTGTAATACAATTTCTATGTAATAATCTAATCTATACTATTATTAAAAACAAGATCATAATCTATACAGCATGTATACTATATATAAAAACAAAATCTTCAATTTAACTTCCCGCCCAAAAGACTCCTATACTATTAAGGTTTGCCCAATATCGTAAAAATATGGTAATACAATTCCTATTCGGACTACAATTGTAGATTAAAATCTGGTAATACAATTCTTAATATAATATAATTTTTCCTACTTTCTTATTCCTAATATAATTGTAGATTAAAATTAGTAATCTTTATAATAATAATCTATCTATACTGTTAATAAAAGTAAAATCATCATCTTCAACTTTCCGATTCAAACTAATATAATTATAAATTAATTGGTAAAAAAACTAATAAAGTTTAATTTTGATATCAAAATTTTATATGAAAATTAATTAATATCTAATGAATTGTTATCACAAATTAAAGCCAATATATACTATATAACAACTGAAATACTCCGTATATCCTAAGCCAAGATTGATTCGTCAAGCTCACAGAAAGCCTAAAGCCTGCCCTTTCTCCATCGTCGATCTCTCTCTGCTCTCAGCCTGACCGCCTTTCTCACCTCTCTGCCTCTCGCCAGATGCTGATTTTGTGATATCTGTGTGCCTACAAAGCAACATTCCTTCGGTTGCAGGCAAACCAGGGGCTGTGTCTCATCCAGCACACTCAGGATGAGACAGACTACCTGGAAAGAGGAGAAATATGGACAGGCAAGATGATGATGACACGAAGACTGTGCAGAGCCAGCCTCTACCTAGAGATCTTTTCACGATTCGACAACTACATAAGTCTCGGGTTTCCAGTTCACACACAGGATCGGTATCATATGGGAGTGCAATTTCTGGAGAGCTCTCTGGCAGGAGTGGCGGCACCAGTTGATAGCAATTAGCAAGTGATACATCTTCCACTGTACATACATTAAATATTTTCATGTATTATTACTTAGGCTCCCTTTGTATCATTACCATTTACTTTTCTTCTTGTGTTATGTTGCCCCCTATTATGGGTTCTGAGGCAGTAGGAAAAGTTCTTTTTAGAACTAATTCTCTAACAATCTGTACCCATTGTCTGTGCTTAATTAAGAATATTCTTTACAAAAAAAAAGTCAATATATACTTAAACATGGAAAATTGTTACCAAATTCTAAGAATAGTTAAATCATTATAATTGTGAGAATAATGGAAACAAATTCTGCGTAATAAATGAAAAATTCAGGAACTCTGTGTAATTTTATAAGGAAATTATAATTTATTAAAGAGAAAATGACACTTTTTCCCCTGTGTTATTTACATATAGCATATTTCCCCCCTGTATTGTTTATGTAACCACTTTATTCCCCTTAATTATTTTTGAAGTGGCTATTTTCCCCCCTCTCCGTTAAATAAGTGTTGGGCTGTTAAATATGAGGGTAACAATGACATTTCACTTATTATTATTATTATTATTATTATTATTATTATTATTATTATTATTATTATTATTATTATGGGCTTAAATCATTTTTTTTATGATAGTGCTTATTTTCTCTGTCTCATCTTACTTATCTTATTTATAATTTATTAATTAATTTAACTCTTTTTAAGTTACTTCGTTAATTTTTTAAATTGTTAAATTAATTTTTGTTGTGTTTAATAATATTTTTAATAAATTAAAAATAAAAAAAAGTTAAATTATACGGAGTATTAATTTAAAGAAATGTTAACATATTTTATTATATTTTAATAATAATAATAATAATAATAATAATAATAATAATAATAATAATAATAATAATAATAATAATAATAATAATAATAATAATAATAATAAGAAGTGAAATGCCATTTTTACCTTCATATTTAACAGTCCTAACACTTATTTAACGGAGAGGGGGGAAAATAGCCACTTCAAAAATAATTGAGGGGGATAAAGTGGTTACATAAACAACACAGAGGAAAAATATGCTATATGTAAACAACACAGGGGGAAAAAGTACCATTTTCCCTAATTATTATTTGCACAAATAATAATAATTCGAATATCAATTTTACACCAATAATCTATCTATACTATATATAAAATCTAAATTCTGAATTTTAATTTCCTGCCCAAAAGACTCTTCAATTTAACTTCCCACCCAAAAGACTCCTATACTATTAAGGTTTGCGCAATATTGTAAAAATATGGTAATACAATTTCTATTCGGACCACAATTGTACATTAAAATATGGTAATACAATTCCTAATATAATATATTCTTTCCTACTTTCTTATTCCTAATACAATTTTAGATTAAAATTAGTAATCATTATAATAATAATAATCTATCTATATTGTTAATAAAAGTAAAATCGTCACCTTCAACTTTCCCGTTCAAACTAATATGAATATTAATTAATTGGTAAAAAAACTAATAAAGTTTAATTGGTATTAAAAATTTATATGAAAATTATTTAATATCTAATGAATCTAATGAATTGTTATCAGAAATTAAAGTCAAGATATACTTAAAATGAAAAATGGTTACCAAATTCTTAGAAAAATTAATCCATTATAATTGTGAGAATAATGGAAACAAATTCTGCGTAATAAATGAAAAAAAAAATCATTGGGAACTCTGTGTAATTTTATATGGAAATAATAATTTATTAATTATTATTTGCACAAATAATAATAATTCGAATATTGATTTTACACTAATAATCTATCTATCTATCCATACTATATATAAAAACTAAATTCTCCATTTTAATTTCCCGCCCAAAAGACTCTTCAATTTAACTTCCCACCCAAAAGACTCCTATACAATTAAGGTTTGCACAATATTGTAAAAATATGGTAATACAATTTCTATTCGGACCACAATTGTACATTAAAATATGGTAATACAATTCCTAATATAATATATTCTTTCCTACTTTCTTATTCCTAATACAATTTTAGATTAAAATTAGTAATCTTTATAATAATAATCTATCTATACTGTTAATAAAAGTAAAATCATCACCTTCAACTTTTCCGTTCAAACTAATATGAGTATTAATTAATTGGTAAAAAAACTAATAAAGTTTAATTGGTATCAAAAATTTATATGAAAATTAATTAATATCTAATGAATCTAATGAATTGTTATCACAAATTAAAGTCAATATATACTTAAAAATGGAAAATGGTTACCAAATTCTTAGAAAAATTAAACGATTATAATTGTGAGAATAATGGAAACAAATTCTGCGTAATAAATGAAAAAAATCATTGGGAACTCTGTGTAATTTTATAAGCAAATAATAATTGATTAATTATTATTTACACAAATGATAATAATTCGAATATTGATTTTACACCAATAATCCATACTATATATAAAAACAAAATTTTCCATTTTAATTTCCCGCCCAAAAGACTCTTATACTATTACAGGGCGTTTGGTTGGAGGGATTTTAAATTCCCTTCCCACTTAATTTCCACCTAATTCCAAAGACCATTAAATTCCGTAGTTTGGTTGGAGGGAATTGCAATTCCATGGAATTGCAATTCCCCCATTTTCATGGAATTAAAATCCCATGTCCCCCCCTGGTATTTTATTTCCTGGGAAAAAAAGATAGTGATGAGTCAAAATTACCCCTTCATTTTTTAACCTAAAATTAATGTCTAACAACAATAATGGATATTTTTGACTTTATACTACTTATTCCCTTTCAATTCCCATGTATACCAAACATTGGAATTGAAATTCCCAATAATTTTATTCCTGTCAACCAAACACTAGAATTTAAATTCCCACTTTATTCCCAGTAATTCAACTCCCATAGAATTACAATTCCTTTTCCACATAATTCCCTCCCTCCAACCAAACGCCCTGTTACAGTGCGTTTGGTTGGAAGGGGAGAATTACGTGGGAAAGGAATTTCAATTCCATGGGAGATGAATTACTGGGAATAATGTGGAAGTTATATTCCTGTGTTTGGTTTACGGGAATAGAAATACTGGAAATTTTAATTCCAATGTTTGGTATATATGGGAATTGAAAGGGAATAAGTAGTATAAAGTCCAAAATGCCAATTATTGTCGCGGTATTAATTTTAGGGTAAAAAAAGGAGTGATAATTTTGTCTCATCACTAGCTTTTTTTCTTCCTAAAATCTCAGGAATTAAAATACTAGGGGGACATGGGATTTTACTTCCATGAAAATGGGGGAATTGTAATTCCACGGAATTGCAATTCCTTCCAACCAAACTAAGGAATTTTATGACCTTTAGAATTAAGTGGGAATTAAGTGGGAAGGGAATTTAAACTCCCTCCAACCAAACACCTTGTTAAGGTTTGCTTAATATTGTAAAAATATGGTAATACAATTTTTGAAGTACTTATGATTCTTTATAAGGTAGTATCTATTCTATACTAGAGCCCTCACCACTCTGGGGTTCAAACCTTTGACCATCCACTTAGAGAGGTAACCAGGATGCTATCGCACTACATTGTAGTTGGTAATACAATTATAGATTAAAATTACTAATAATAATAATAATACTAATAATCTATACTATATAGAAAAAAAAATCATCAACGTAACTTCCTGCCCAAAATCCTCAAATTTTATTATATTGTTTTCTACTTTCCTATTCATACAATAATTCTATATTAAAATTCCTATTCTAATATTCTAAAATAGTGTAATACAATTCCTAAAATAATATATTCTTTCATACTTTTCGTACTATAATTATACATTTGAATTCCTATTCTAATATTGTAAAATAGTGTAATATAATTCTTAATAGAATATATTCTTTCCTACTTTTCTATTCGTACTATAATTGTATATTAAAATTCCTACTTGTAATACAATAGGACAATATTAAAACACTATTATAATACTGCAGCGTGACAAATAAATATGAGAGTACAAATACTGGAAATAGGAAGCAACATATTGTTAGAATTTATGTACCGGAAAATGTCGCAGTAGCACTGCTTTTTATATTGGCTGATTTGGAAAAAGGAACGGAATCCTGTGTCGTGTGAATACACTACCTTAAAAGCAAATTGCCGGTATAACCGGGTGCTTTCGACTGGTTACACACAGACTTTCTACGAGATACCGGCCTAGGTATTCTCAGTCACAGTAGAACCTGACTTAGAGCTCAGCTAGAAGGCTTGGAAAGAATATAAGAATAGAAGAATGTATTGGTGTGTTTAGAGCTTAGGAGGAGCAGGGTATTATAGCTATAGAAATACCTGCTCCTCCTCTCTTAGCCATTCAATTTCCACTAAAAGAGGGGAGTGGTGTAGAGGACCACAATTGTAGGAGTTAAACCTCACTCCACAATTTATTGTGGATGGAAATAATCCACACTTATTTGGGTGTTATTCCCAACATCCCCCACACACTCAAACAAGTGTGAATGAAGTAGGTCTAAGCGGAAGTGAGCGCTGATCTTAATGCCAGTGGTTTAAACCTTGAACTGACACGTAGTGACTTGAGTAACTTTCTCCTTAGTAGTGAATTGAATCTTAAACTAGCAAAGGAGAGGTAGTTTTGAACTCATGTGCACACATCAACACCCATTATGCATGTTCTTCGGAGGTCAAACTCTTTGACTTGAGGTCTACCTCTGTGTAGACCCTAGCTTAGAACAGCTCATGTTCAGTTGCTTTACGTAAGCTTGGCTTACTTTGTTGATTTTAAGCCCATCTCCTTTGATGTATCAAGGACGGCCTTTCTATTTAGTCCTTTAGTGAGAGGATCTGCAATATTCATCTCGAACCTCACATATTCCAACGTTAGTACCCCAGTCGTAATCAATTGTCTTACAGACTCATGTCTGACTCTTATGTGCCTTCTTTTTCCATTGTAAGCACTATTCTTTGCTACGTATATAGCAGTTTGAGAATCACAGTGTATGGTCACAGATGGTGTAGTACACCCCCACAATGGCACGTCTGCCAGTAGGTTTCTTAACCAATCGGCCTCTTGTCCAGCTAGATCAAGTGCTATGAACTCAGCTTCCATAATTGATCTCGCTATACACGGTTTTTTCGTGGATTTCCACGATACTGCGGCTCCACCCATAGTGAACA